CAACTTCACAAGTTGTGAAGTGGGCTGAAGAGATAACTCAGAGGCTAAGAGTGTGTACTGCTCTTCCAGAGGACCTGAGTTCTATTCCCAGCATCCTGTAACTCCAGCTCAAGGGGAATCTGATGTCTCTGACCACACACACACACACACACACACACACACACACACACACACACACACACACACACACTTCCCCTTTCAGCACCTCTCCTGGGATCCAGGGCTTCCCACACGCTAGGCAAACACTCTATCACTGTGCCATGCCCACAGGTCCACCCCGCCTTTTTTTTTCTTCTTCCAGAGAACACTCTTTAGAGAAACCGATGTACAAAAAATTCCATGTCACAGCCTGTGGGGATTTCTAAGATACCTGCTTCCCAGGTCTCCCTAACAGGGTTCATAGCTTAAAGATCAGGCAGGAAAGGCTTCAGACAGAGCTCTGAAATAGACTGAAAAGACATTTCACAAAGCTATCTCCTGGTACCTCTAGAGCCTATTTTAAACATTTTGGAAACCGACCACATTCTATTTTTTTTTTTTTTAAAAATGGTCTTTTAGTTGCAACCGTGACTTTCGATCTTTGTAGTTGGCAGGTGTCGTTCCAACAGCTGAACACACTATTTAAAAGATAGCAAAGCTGCTTGACTTAAATCATCCAGGGATTTGAAAGGATGTGTCATGTGAGGGGAAAGAAACGCTCCAAGAAGCCCTTTATTTCTTTGAGCCATTGCTCCGCTGAAATGAATGTAAGAGTCATCTTTGGACAGTAGGAAATCATAGTTACCAAGTCGCTTCAAAATCACTCCCCCAAGAGCAAAGAAGAATGACATTCAGTTCCCTCTCCAAAGAAGAGCGAGGTCTATAAACAGAGCTGTTGAGAGACTCTGGAAAAGGTCCAGAAAGAATCCCGCACATTAGTTGCCATTACCTTTTCTAGATCGGGCCATTCCTTTGGTAGAATATGAGTGTGGATGTCAATTTTCATCTCCACAGGATCAGAGGAGACACGTGTATGTACAAAAAGGGGAATCTGATGTCAAGAGATCGTCATGAAAGGCAGAGTTCATTGACTTCCTCCGTCCCTTTATGTCTACCTTCGGGTACCAGTCAGAAGGCCTGGCCAGCCCAGGTTTGGTCCATGCCAACTGCCCTATTAAAGTTCAAGATTCTGTTTATCCCCTTGGCTTTGGTTCAGTACTCTTTGGTAACTAGGACTCAGCACAAAATTTAAAAAGAAAAAAAAAAGGCAACAAGAAAACAGGAATGTACTCAACTTCTGGGGCCAAAAGGGCAGCATGCTGCCTTGACTCAACAGAAGCTCAGAACTTGACTAATTTGGAGGTGGGGATGTAGCTCAGTTGGCAGGAGGCTTGTCTAACATGGGTTCCATTCACAGCACCACTTAAACCAGACATGATGGTGCACACTTATAATCATGGCACCTAGAAAATAGAGGCAGTTGGATCAGAAGTTCAAGGTCACCCTTGGCCTTATAGTAAGTTCAAGGCTGGTCTAGTAAATATGAAACCCTGCCTCCAGGGAAAAAAAATTGACTAATTTTGTATTTTAATATTTAAATTTTATCAAGATACATTCTGTTAAAAATCAACTAGCATGTATTTAGACATAAAATAATTCAGGGGAGTTTTAAAGAAAAATCGTATTATCATCTAATTCATCTCTTCTTATATTTGGTTTTGTTACCCAGAAGTAACTCATGTTAATGGTTTTTGGGTTTTGTTTTTGATCCAGTTAGCTATTTCCATGTCTTTAAATCATATTTAAAAACTGCTTGTTAGAGCGAGGAGGTGGTGGCACACTCCTTTAATCCCAGCACTGGGAGGGAGAGGCAGGCAGAGCTCTGTGAGTTCGACCTGGTCTACAGAGTGAGTTCTAGGACAGCCAGGGCTACACAGAGAAAGCTGTCTCAAAAAAAACCAAAAAAACAAAAAAACAAAAAACAACAAAAAAAAAACAGTAAAAAAAAATAGAAAGAAAGGAAGAAAGAAAGAAAGGAAGGAAGAAAGAAAGAAACTGTCTTGTTCACAAAAATTTAACATGTTGAAAACATAGTAGGGTAAGTTTTCTCTTTTAATTATTTTAAGTGTGTAAGTATTTTATCTACATGTATGTCTGTGTACCCCATGCTTGTCTGATACCCTCAGAGATCAGAAGGGGGCATTGAAACTGGAGTTATGGATGGTTATGAGGGCATTGGAGCTCCTGGAACCGGAATTACAGATAGTTGTGGGCTATCATGTGCGTGCTAGAAACTGAACCCAGGACCTCTGGAAGAGCAACCCACGCTCTTACCCACTGAGCCGTCTCCCCAGCCCCGGGGAGTTTCATCTTCCCTTGCATCATCTTTATGGTTACATTTCGTTCTTTGCCTCTGGTTTTCTACTGGTGGTTCACTTCTCTTCTCACTCACTCAGACAGGTATTTAGCAGGCACTGGCTGAGAGATCTGCTGAAAAAATGGTAGGGGAAGTTTCATCTTGCAGAAAGCGTCTACCGTTCAGGTTGTACTTTGTCCTCGTGGACTTTTCAGTTCATTCATTCACTCATTTATGCATGCATTTAACAAACACTTCTGGGGGCTTCCTACGTGCTGAAGATGTAAGGTTGAATGAGATGAGATGATGTATAATAATAGATCACTGTATACAGCCTTGTGTAGGGATTGGAACCAATCAGCATTCCAGCTGAGGGTGGGTTGTGTGGGCCAGGAGGGTGTCCATTGAAGCATAAAGTGGGACTTAACAGTCATGCCATCAAGGGGAGCCTGGGATAAACCCGTCCTTTTCCTCATCTTGGAAAGGAAAATGTTCAAAGGACCCTAGGGGCTCTGACAGAACGTTACATCTACTCTAGGAATGTTCCCTTCTGCGCAATCTCTTCAGTACAGAAACTGAGTATTCAAAAAGCCTTCTGGCTGTAATTCATCTGATTATGGTTGAATTATAAAAGCATATTAGTGATTGATGCTCAGCGTGAGAGGGAACAAGGGGAAATTTCAATGCTCTTGCCTTTCCTTGTTTCATGAGACCCATTCTCATACTGCTTGGGCTGTCCTCAAAGTCCCTGTGTAGGATGGATTGCCTCGGACTCTTGATCTTGCCGCCTTCACACCTCATGCTGACACTACAGGCATATAGCACCGTGCGTAGCTCCTTTTTTTTTTTTTTTTTAAAGACAGGGTCTGGTGTATTCCAGGCTGTCCTTGAACTCCTGGCCCTTCTCTTTCCTCTTTTTGAGGGTTGGGATTACTAGCCTGCACTACCAGACCCCATCTGCATGGTTTGGATGGAGTTCAGGGCCTCTGCACACTAAGCCACACCCCGGTCTCTCCCTCCCCCATTCTCCTTATTGGGACCCCATTGCATCCCACCTCCATGTTCCGCTTTGTCCACTCCCACAGTCAGGACCTTGTCTCTCTTCACGATTCTTTCATTGCTGCTGCTGGTCACTGGCGGCAGTGGCGGCTCCCTGCGGTTTGTCCCAGAGACTGTCTGGACCCAGCACAGTCTCTTTGAAACACAACATGCCTTTTGGCATAATGCTGCTTGTGGTGTTTTCACTGCTAGGTCCGTGAGAAACCCAGAGCCGCTGGTGTCCATTGAAACCCACAAGAAACAAGCACCACTAGTTGAGTCTCGGCCCCTCTCGTCTCCGTGCGCTGCCTACTGTGCCCTGGTCCCCAGCCACGGGCCGCATTTCCTGCTTCCTCACACAAAATTCTGGCACCTTCCTGTCTCTATTTACAGCTTCCTTAGTGTCTGATGCCTGCAACAAAGGTCTTCATCCTCCTTTCTAACTCTAACCGTGACTCAGTATTTAGCCTAAGCATCATC